AGGTTTTTTTTTACTTTGGATAGAATATTGTCTTAACATGATGTTGTGCCCTGTCAAATTTGAGTTCATATTATCACCACGAAAGTAATTAATTTTTCATATTGAGCTTTCTAACTGAATTTACAATGGCATTTACAATATTATCAGATGTCTCACTTTTGATGGAATTAATCATCAAAAGCTTTCCTTTCATTTCAAGAATTTAGTGAAAAAAATCCAACTGTGATTGGAATTAACCTATCTAATATTCTGGGAGCTCTGGTGGTGTAGGCCTAAGACATTTGACTGCCAACCAGAAGGCTGACAGTTCAAACTCACCAGCCACTCCTTGGAAGGAAGATTGGGCAATCTACTTCCAAAGAGATACTGTCTTGGAAACTCAAGAAGGGGTCACTATGAGTTGGATCTGACTCGATAGCAGTGAGTTTGATTTTATCTAATATTCTCTTTGAAGCATCTCATCACATTGGTATAATTTGGTTATTTAAAAGCTTATGAAGTTGGCTACTGTTCAGTTTTGTAGCTGTGTGTACACACACACATACACAAAACTTGGAACAGAAAAAGAGAAAATAATTCAGAACATCAATCATTAGATCTATCTAAATGAAATTTATGCTACAGTGAGTGACATGAAAAACACCTTTGGTGACCGCCCTAATTAAATTATCATCTTTAAGTAAAATCCACTTATCATAATTGCTACTTTTAAGTAGATGTGATGCTTGTTCTGCAAATTTGTGTCTTATGGGCTTTATGTAATATAAGTCAGACTCCATGGGGACAGTAAATATATTATGAAAGTTACACATTTATTATCAATTTTCTTGGAAAATAGTATGTCAGTGCTTAATTTTTCATTACATAGGTACTTTTACCTTTTTTGAGCTCACTGCTGACAACGGGGTACATTTTAAAAATAAGAAATGTTACCAAACAATAAAATAAGTGGTCACAAATTTAAGCTACACAATATATGACAAAACTCTTATATCCAATACCTGCAGACTCGCTATAAGCCTAGTGGTAGGCTTCTATTTCTCCATAAAAATTGCACATACTCCTAACCTATAATTTCCCATATATCCTACTGATCCCACTTACTGGTAGCCTGATGACTTTCTGCATCTTACAGGCTGTGGTTCAGCCCATGGCATAACTGGCTGGTCTACCAAAGTGCTGTCAGGAGCAGCATTATTAATACCTCCCCACTAGAGGAGCTCTGGTGGCGAAGTGCCTAAGGCATGTGACTGCTAACCAGAAGGCTGGCAATTCAAACCCACCAGCCACTCCTCAGAAGGAAGATTGGGCAATATACTTCCATAGAGATACTGCCTCAGAAACCCAAGGAGGGGTAGCTATGAATCAGAACCAACTCGATGGCAGTGAGTTTGGTTTTTTGGTTTATTAGTAGTACTAGGGACTAAAGAAGATAGCTGTCTCTAGCTGCTCGGTCAAAGCACATTTCAGTTTATCAGTGAGCACCCTGTCATTGAGAGGGAACTGTAATTTAAGTTTTTTTCAGAAAAGGATCAGGAAAATAGAGATGGGTTATCACTAGTTGTCTTACTTTCCTAGTGCTACTGTAACAGAAATACCGTAAGTGGATGGCCTCAAAGTTTAGGGGCTAAAAGTCCAAATTCAGGGCACTGGCTCTAGGGGAAGGCTCTCTGTCATTTCTGGGGCAAGATCCTAGTGTCAGCTGTTATAGCCCGGGTGTTCCTTGGTTTCTTGGCAGTCCTCACATGTGGTTCTGTCTTCCCCAGTCTATGCTTGCTTAGCTCTGTGTGTATGCTGCTCTTTATATCACTTAGAATTGATTAGGTTTCAGATGCACCCTACACTGATACGGTCTCATTAACATAACACAGAAAGAAAACCCTATTCCTAAATGTGGTGGTTACATTCACAGGTATAGAATTAAGATTCCAACACATATTTTTAGGGGTGCTATTCAATTGGGAGCTCTGGTAGTGTAGTGGCTAAGGCACTTGACTGCTAACCAGAAGGCTGGCAGTTCAAACCCACCAGCCACTCCTCGGAAGGAAGATGGGGCAATCTACTTCCGTAGTGATACTGCATTGGAAACCCAAGGAGGGGTCGCTATGAGTTGGGTCTGACTCAATGGCACGTAACAACAACAACAATTCAATTTGTAATCCTGGTGAACATACAGATTTAATAATGTGTTAAAGAATTCTGTGTATAGACTATGGCAGAAACTTTATACTGAAAGTATAAAGTGCAGATGTCACAACCCCATGCTAGATAACTTTAAAAAAATAGTAAAAATATTTGATAATAAAATTTAAAAACCAGCACAATTTGCTAAATGACAGGGATACTAGAACAACAGTTAAGAACCAGGACTATCCTAAGCAAACCAAGATGCTGTAGACACCCTGCTCATACTCCAACTGATGAGATGGGAAGAAGGTACATAAGCCTCCAGAGGTTCTCTTCACTGATTGTGCCAGTTCTGTAGAAAAGTTGCAATCTAGGCTCCCCTCAGTAAGTGGGTGTGGTTGTTACAGTTGTGTGTCAGCTTGGCTGGGCTGTGTTTTTGAGTGGCTGGGCAGCTGGATGTAGTTATTCCCCATGATGAGATTATAATCACCTCTACAGTAGAATCTGCTGTGAGCAGCTAAGTAGTTGCCTTTGGGGTGTGGTCTGCTTCCAGTATATAAGGAGAAACTTTGGGAAAGGCCTCTAGCTTTTTGGTACATCTGGATGCTGCATTTGGCTGAATCTGTATCTCAGTGGTCTGCCATGTCACCTGCTGGTCTTGGGACTCTGCCATTTTACTTGCTGTTCTGGGGTTCATCAGCTTCAGCAGCCGGCAGCTGTGTGAGCGAGAAAAAGTTTCCAGTGCTAGTGGGCCTGGAACAGGAGGCAGAGCTGAAGCCCAAAGTCGAGGGGACCTTCACCCAAACTCTAGAGCCAGCACTTTGAACTTGGACTTCTAGTTCCTAAACTGTAAGAGAATAAATCCCTGTTTATGAAAGCCATCCATTTGTAGTACTTCTGTTATAACAGCACTAGAGAACCAAGACAGTGAACATAGTTTTCTTGTTCTGTGAGCTACAGTCTTCCTCAGCTTCCTCAACACTATGACTGTTTTGAGGAAGAATGGACCATGCTCTCCTAGAGATGGTAGGTGCTAGAAGATCTCCCACCCTATTGTAATGTGGCTTTTCTTCAGCTTCCTCCTTGCCTTTCCTAAGGAAAGTGAAGGATACATTGGGGTGTGGTGTGGCAATAGAGTTATAATGAACTAGTTTTTTTTTTTTTTTTTTTTGGTAGATACATTTTCCTTTATTTATATTATGCTGTAATACAAAGTTAAACCTATAAAGCTACGATCATCAAGCTAATCTTGTAAGATAATCGGCATTTAAAATACTGCTACAAGGAAATAGAAACCATATTTCCTCCTAATTTCCTCACATAATCCCTTCCTTCCCTAAGTGGGAAGAAATAAGGCAAGGCATTTTGAACATTAAATTTTAAATCCTTCTTTATCCTGTTTGTTTTTATTGCTGTATGCTATTGAGACTAATTTTTTTTTATGTGAAATACTTTTGAAATCAGTGGTGATGGTCATTGTTCATGTATTAGAGCTTAATTTCTAAAGCACTTGGTTTGTGGAAAGTGTGGTCTACACGGGAGCCCTAACTCCATTTTGAGTCTTGACATAAATTCAGACACCATTTGAGTTCTTTGTGTTACTTCCCCAATGCTTCCTAACTATTAAGCCAACAATGTGGTTACACTTTGACAAGTCCAAGGTAAGCCCAAGAAGTGGCAGTTTGCCATTAGACTTACAAAAGAACTAGGGAACTTGCCTGTGTGTGTCCTTAATGATTTACCAAAAATAGCCTCATGTTATCTAATTCAAGTTAAAATTCGGGGTCCTGGTAACTATGACTCAGAGACACGTGATCATAAGTCATACCCCAACCACCACATAGAAACCCCAGAACCAATCCATGACCTTCTTTAACCTGCAGTTAGATACTTACCCAGTCCTTTCACCAGTGCCCTAGTCCTGCCTGTGACAATGATGAGTTGACCTACCACCAATCACGATCTTGTGATGATTTCTTTTGTTCTCTTTCATATATATGAAAACCATGGCTGTGAGTCAGTGGACTCCTTCAGCTTCTTACTATGTGCATATTTAGTGTTTCCCTCATCCAGATAACTTTGTTTTGTCTTTGTCTTATTTAAGGCTTAATAAAAGGATCTCTGTGACTGCTAACCAGAGGGCTCGCAGTTCAAACCCACCAGCCACTCCTCAGAAGGAAGATTGGGCAATCTACTTCCGTAGGGACACTGCCTCGGTAATCCAAGGAGGGGTCGCTGTGAGGCGGATCCAACTCGATGGCAGTGCATTGTTGTTGTCATTGTAAAGAATATGTTTGAATCTGGGGTCTTTTATCCCTTAGCACAGTTCTTAATCTCAGACATAAAGGAGTGAAGTGCAGAGACTGTCCTTCATGTAGCCCATCAGGCTCTGTCTTCAGAACAAGTTAGGCTTACGTGGGGTTGTTTAGCTCTGGAGTTGGGAGATGAATGAACTTGGTGAAGGAAGAATTCCTGAAGGAGTAACTCCATAAATTAAATACCCTGAGTCCAGCCACTATTTTAGGTCTTTCTGAAAGACCCTTTGGGGCCATAGTTGTCAAAAAGAAGAAAGATTCAACTCTCTTGCCCCAGAAAGCCTCTTGTTTCCACTCCCCTCCTGGCTCAAGAGGGCCCAGAGTACCAGAACTTCCCATAGAGATGCTAAGGGAGGTCCAAGCCACCAGCCCTCTCCTCCTTCCCTTCCCAACCTCTGGGGTGCATGGAAGGGAAAGTACAAGGGATTCTCTTTCACATTCAGGGCACTGCCATACAGATTTATAAGGTAAAACAGACAACTTGGCATTCTGATTTGAAACTTTCATTTAATCGACCTTCTCTCCTACAGTCCCTCATGGACCAAACAGGTGGATAGTTTAAGCCCAGTTACAGCAAGAGCAGCTAGTGTCAAAGACCAGGCCTGACTGACAAGCTTCTTCATAGGTGTGCCCACCCACACAGTTGTAGAAAGCCTGCTTGCTGGTGGGGCTGGGATAGAGACCATCAGACTTCCCAGCACAGAAACCACTACCGCCAGCGCTGCCACCCCCGGGAGCTGCAGTGACGATGGGGGCCACACTGGTGCCCAGGGTAGAGGTGGGTACTCTGCAACCTGAAGAGAGAAAGGAAAGGCTTTCTGTTAGCTCTAGAGTAGACTTCTTTCTCAGGAGGAGTGTCATGTCTGCAGGGTCATTGTGGGTCCTTTCCAGCAATGGCACAACTATCTCAACCAGTAGTTAAATACTCTAGCCTGAATCAAGGATATCCAAGTTCATAAACTTTCACCCAAATAAATATATATGTGTGTGTGTGTATTAAAATTCAGTAGCTTTTGTTAAAAAGGGAAAAATATATCCAAGTTCACAGCACAGGTCTACTATTAACTATGTGACTTTGAACCTTGAACAATCATTAACTTCTCTGGGCCTCCATTTTCTCACCTGTATTACCTCTTAGAGAATTATTATGAAAATTAAATGAGAAAATGCATGGAAAGCATCTTTCAACATACATGATATATAAAATAGTAAGTACTACATAATTATTAGTTGACGAGTAACAACAGTCTCCCAGTGAGCCTGTGAAGATTACACAGAGTCTAAAAGAACCAGCAGACCTGACATAAAGGCCAAGGATCAACGCTAGCCTTCTCCACATCTTCCTGGCTTCTCTTGTCTTGGCCCTCGGGGCTAGGACAGAATTTAGTGCTGAGGCCAACTGTAACTGTTCTCCCTACTTCTGGGCTAGTACAAGCTGGGCATCTTCAAGTTTTTCCTTCTTTCCATCCTTTTTGCCATTTAACTTTTATTTTAAATTGTGATTTGAGTGAAAGACACAAGGAAACAATTTAACTTTTAATCTCTCCCTTGGTTTGTCTTCTTTGCCCTGCAAAGTTCATAAAGGCTGGAGCTAGGCAGGTTAGGAATAGGAGACAAGGTGTGTCTGGTCCCCTTTCACCTCCCCAGGCTCTGATGTGTCCAGGCAACCTTATCAAGGCCCACAGCAGGTCTCCAGAAGACAACCTTCAGGAATATTGATAGGTCCTCCCTCTGTCAGTAGGACTATCATCCACCAGCTGTCTGGGACAAGCCGTTTGGGTCTGTCTTCCTGGGTCTTAAATGCAGCCCCTACAGGCATGTGGGGTGGATAAAAGATCTGCAGGAGGAATTCCATGAAGCCAGTCTGGAAGGAGCTCTGGGATTCTGTCTTTTCCTCTTTCTTAACCATATCTTTCTTAACCATATTTCATGGCTAGTAGGCAGCAATAACTACTTACTAGGAGTGGAGACACCAAGGGCAGATTTGATGGCGTTCATGAGGGGGTATTTGCCTTGTCCACAGAAAGTGCCTGTGAAGTCATCCAGGTCAATGGCCCAGACCATGGCCCCTCCAAAGTTGTTCTTCAGCAGCCACTCAGCCTGAGAGAGAGCAGGGGAACAAGGAGGATAATGACCAGTCACTGGGAGGAGGGGATGAGAATGGCTTTACTACAGCGACCTTGAGGAATCAGTGGACATATTTTTATATGAGGGAAGATTTTAGTACTAGAAGTCAGTGAGAAAGGGGGTCTTGGGCTCCAGTCTGCCTATTTTCTTTGCCTTCTGTTAACACACACAAAAAAAACCTTCTGAGATTTGTCTGAGCTAGGCTTGGTTTGATTGTGGTATCATAAGAGACATAGAGCCCTTTACACAGCAAAGTGTTTGGACAAAGAGAGAAGGTTCCAGAGGGGGATGCATAGAGGAAAAGCATGCTGAGGTTTGTAAGCAGTAGTTTTATCCCCCTCAGACCTGAGTATGGAAAGGCCAATGGGCAGAAGCCTCATGGCTTAGGGGATCTCTGCCTCCTGATTTTCCTTGAGTCCATAGGAAATTGCTATAAGCAAAAAAGGAAACATTGATCTATGCAATGGCCTTTGGGATGAGGAAATATGCCTGCCTTGGAAAGCACAAAGAGAAAGTTGGATCAAGACCAGAGCATAGCAGGTAAGAGAGCCACAGGAGAGTCTCAGGGATGAAAAGAAGGAAGGAAGCCAACTGCTACCAAATGGGGCAGGAGAACCTAATCCAACTTCCAGGCTCTGCAGTGACTGGCTCCTGTGAAACCCTGAGCCCTCCCTGGGCCTTGCCTCACCTAGGTGTCTTCTGGGGTAGCAGCTCAAAGGCACCTTGAGGGCATGTCCCTAACCCTCTCCCTGATCATGCAAATGAAAGGATTAGAGGGCCTTACCTTGAGGGTGAAGCTCTTGGGGTTGCCATACCCAATCCACTGGTTTCCCTTGTAGGCATAGGGCACCTCCTGGGGGGCATTCCACACCTCTGTGGCTCCTTTCAGGAAGGAGCAGACCTGGGGCAGGTACAAGAGAAGTCGTGACTCAGGTGGGCCCTTCTCTGCTCTGGTCACCTCTCCCACTTCCCTTCCTTTCATTCCTGGGATATGTTTTGCTGGCAATAAAAACACGTGGGTCCAGTTTTACCCCAGTTCCTCTGCCCTGATTTTCAGTCTAGTGAGCCAGTGCAGAGTGTGATAGATAGAGGAATGAGCCATGAATTCCAGTCCTGTGTCTGCAAATAGCCATCTGTGTGACAATAGACAAAGTAGCCTCTTTATACCTTGTGCCCAGTTTCCTGTTGAAATGGATTTATCTGTTATTTGAAAGAGTTTTCATCTCAAAAAAGCTAACAAGGAGATAGCAGAGCATAAATAGTGGTGAAGATATGAGATTCTGGAGCTGGACAACTTAGTTTTTGACTCAGATCTGCCTCTTACTAGTTTTGTGACTTTGAGCAAATTACTTGGTTAAGTAATTAACCAAGTACCTCTGTATTCTCTTCTGTAAAATGGGTATGATAAAAGTATCTCATAGTTTGTTGTGAGGGTAAATGAGATGATATATAAAAATCACTTTAGAATGGACTTCTAGTAAGATGGAGGAATAGGCAGACAAGCCACACAGACCCTTCTCAACAAAGAAAAGAAATATCAACTGACAGAGATACAGAAGATAATTCTGGAGCCCTGTGCTTTGAAATAAAGTATACAGAAGTGGATGAGGCACCAACTACTGGAAAAACCTGAATGAAAACAGTGAGTACAGAGACAGTGAGCAGTGGATTGTCAGTTACTCTGATGGGACCAACAGGCTGAATATTTCCAAGTGGTGTTGGGACCTGAGAATTGACCTAAAAAATTGGCCTTGGTTACCAAGGGCTGCATGCTGATGACCTGTGACTAGAAAGGGAAATAGCAAGGAGGGAGACAACCTGAGGTGTGGACTTCCTACTGTCTGGAGGGTGCAGCCATTTTGATTGTTTACACATGGCAGCCATTTAGGATATTTAAAGTGACTGTGAGTGCAGCCATTTTGAATGTTTACACACAGCAGCCATTTTGGATATTTAAAGTGACCAAGGGTGTAGCCATTTTGAATCTTTGCAAGTGGCAGCCATTTTGGATTTTAAAGTTAGAACATTGTCATTCAGATTCCAGGGACCTACAAATAGGCTCTGTTTGCCAAGGCTGGCAGGGACATACGAGAGGCTGACAACAGGAAAGGTGGTGAGTGTATAAGTGCTGCCAACTAGCGAATAGAGGAAAATAGCACAGTACCCTGCTTACATAGATAACATACAAACAAAACAAAGAAAACAAAAATCATGGGCAAGTCACTCCAACATACAATCACCAATTAAATATGAACACAAAAATGTCACAATGCCTCAGAGCCAACAGAGCATCATAGTGCACACAAAGAAGCAAGATAAAGCAGAAGAAACAAGGGACCAGGATATGGACCCAAAACACATCCCTGAGGAGGACGTAGTGTTGGAATTCCTTGATAAGGAATTCAAAAGAATTATATTTAGGTATCTTCAATGAATTGAGAGGCAGATCGAGGAAAACACAGAGAAAACCCTAGAACAATTTCAAAAGACAATATAAGAACAAAATGACAAAAAAATGAAAAATTAGAAATGATACAAAATCTACAGACAGAAATCCAGAAGATTAATACTAAATTTTAAGAAATACATAAGACACTGAATGGGCAAAGGAGTAGAATTGAATCAATGAAAGACAGAATTAGTGAGATTGAAGGCAAATACTTGAATACTTCTTTAGAAAGGGATCAATCAGAAAAAAATATCAAAACAAAATGAAGAAAGCCTAAGGTTCGTGTGGGATACCATCAAAAAGGAATAACCTATGTGTAATCAGAATTCCAGAACAGGAAGAGACAAATGAAAACACAGAGAATATTGTCGAAGATTTGTTGGAAGAGAATTTTTCTGGTATGATGAAAGATGAGAATATATCCATTCAGGAAGTCCAATGAACACCAAATAGGATACACCCCAAAAGAAAAACAAGACATATCATCATCAAACTCACCAAAACCAAAGACAAAGAAATAATCCTGAAAGAAGCACAGGAAAAACAAAAAGTTACCAACAAGGGGCAACCCGTAAGACTAAGCTCAAATTTCTCGACAGAAACCATTCAGGTGAGAAGACAATGGGATGGTATATATAAAACCCTAAAAGAGAAAAATTTCCAAACAAAAATTATGTACCTAGCAAAATTGTCCTTCAAATATAATGGTGAAATTGGGACATTTCCTGATAAGCAGAAATTCAGGGAATTTGTTAAAACCAGACCACCCTTACAAGAGATACTAAAGGGAGTCCTTTGGACAGAGAAGCAACAACAGCCAACAACAACTGACCATTAACACATGATGATATAACCCAGAAACCAACCCAGCTATGGAAGTATCCAAAGTAAATAAGCCTACAAGATTGTAAGCAGGAAACCAAAGACATCATTTGACAAATGATGACAACTACAAACCAAAAAGAGGGAAAAAACTGTGTTGTTACAGAACTTCTAGCTGGTAGGGAAGTTAAGAGAACTATAAGATAGAAGCGACTATTCTAAACTTGAGAAGAAAACTATAAATCACTGGGTAACCTCAAAGAAAAATGATAAACCATCACATCAAAAGAAAAAAGAGGACCAGCACAAATATTTAGCAAATACTAATATAATAGCAAGGAAGTGATAACACGATTCATAAACAAAACAAGCTCAGCATAGAAAATTATATGGAACAAAGAAATTGACATCATGAAAAAGCACAAAACAAAAATGACAGCCACAAGTTCATATTTGGTGATAATTAATGCTATGCAGCACTAAAGAATAATGTAGAGTCTTTGAAACACTGCATAATATGGATGAACTTGGAGAACATTATGCTGAATGAAATAAATCAATCACAGAAGGACAAATATAGTGTTAGTTCATTGCTGTGGAGGGTCATGGAAAGGTTTATATATGGAGGGAAACTTTCTTTATTGGTTGCCAGGGGTGGGGGCAAGGGGAGGGAAAACTGCAAAAAAAAAAAAAAAAAATGCATTGACCTATGTCATTTTAGTTTTGTGTATTTCACTGGACATAAATTATATTTCAATAAAATGCATTTTTAAAACTCACTTTAGAACAGAGCATAGCTCTATATTTTCACTAATTAAATATGAACTACCAATAGTATTAAAGGTGCACATATGTTTTGTAAGGTTAAACTTTAAGATACTTTATCTCTACAAAATATACAAATACAGAAACACACTCAGAGCAGCCAATCAAGGTACACCCTCTATTAGAAATCAGAGTATAGATTCTTTTTCTCCATGGAAGTATCTTCAATTCTTTGAAGCAGAGAGAGTGGATCTCCCTGGTTTCTTGGCCCTTTGATGACATTAGGAACTCTGGTAGCCTAGTGCCTAAGGCGTTTGACTGCTAACCAGAAAGCTGGAGGTTCAAACCCACCAGCCACTCCTCAGAAGAAATATTTGGCAACCTACTTCTGTAGTGATACTGCCTCAGAAATCCAAAGAGAGGTTGCTGTGAGTTGGATCTGACTTGATGGCAGTGAGTTTAGTTTTTTTTTGTGTGTGACATTACCTCAAAGTAGGCAAGAGTCCCAGCCTCTTGAGTATAGGGCCCAGCCTTCCCGGGGCCAGAGGTGGGAGCATCCAGGCCGTGGTTGGCAGGGTTTGTGAGAGTAAAAGTACGGGCATAAGCCCCAAAGCCCACCATCAGCTTCTCAGCAGGTGCACCTTGACTCTTCCAGTAGTTCATTGCATAATCCTGGAAGCAAGTTAAGGAATTAGTATCATTAGGAAGCAGCTGACCAGGGGCCCAAAGACCCATGGAATAGCCTAGACTTTCTGCAAAATTCCCTTGCAACTGCAGATAAGCATCTCATCAAGCTCTATCCACAATCCAATCTGGTAGATAGGAAAGGAGCACTCTCTCCTCTAGAATGGGTGTCAGAGACATCTTCAGTCAATAGGCATATTGTTTAGGTAGCAGAGGCCAGTGTCAACTGGAAATGAATTGTTCTCTCTTATTCTCCTTCCTCTTATACCAGACTTAGCACTTGGGCCATGACTGAAATTCAGCTATGTATCACGTGTCTCCCCACCTGCCTAAAAACCACAGCTCAGAGTCATTTGAGCATGGGATGTCAACCTGGGAGATTTTTCCATGACAATTTTTAAACTCCTGTTTGAATTCTTCATTGAAATCACATTCAGTCCATTTAACCACCTACTTTAAACTCACTGTTACATCTACCTAAGCCATGCAAGTTAGAAAGATAAAACCTCATGGGACAGGAAGAGGGTGGAGAGAAGGGGAAAAAAGCATGGGTGTAGGAAGGATCACAAAATGTGCTTCTAGCACAAATGGAAATCATATTTTAAAAAAATGTCTGCAATGTTTTAGATTATCCCAAAAGCCTACTCTGCTTCCTTTGGTGTGAAAGATAAATGGATGCAATTAATCATAGGAACAGGGAAGTAGCAAACATGAGCTGGAATAGGAGAGAAGATAAAGACCAATCCTCTTAGCCCTCTGATGAACACTTGTCTTCTTGCAGTCCATCCAGCTTCCTTGGCCTCCTTTTTAGTCCTGGGTCAAGAGTCCCATGTTATGCTTTGAAGAGATCTGCTAGGACTGGCTATCTGGAACCTATTTCCTCACTCACCACATTAAAGTATTTGTAGTCTCCCTGGTCATTGGGTCCTGCAAAAAGGGGGCTGTTCTCTCCTGTGAAGCCTTCCCAGGAGCCCCTTAGATCATAGGTCATCACGTTGATGAGGTCCATGTACCTTGGGTGGTTGGGAAGAGGATAGAAATGACTCAAGGAGAATCAGTCTCTCCATCCTACTCCCTACTAAAACTTCTGTTGTTGTTGTTGTGTGCCGTCGAGTTGGACCCGACTCATAGCAACCCCTCCTTGGGTTTCCAAGGCAGTATCAGTACAGAAATAGATTGCCCCATCTTCCTTCCGAAGAGTGGCTGGTGGGTTTGAACCACCAGCCTCCTGGTTAGCAGTCAAGTGCCTTAGGCACTATGCTATCAGAGCTCCTACTAAAACTTCTAGACCCTGCAAAATGTGTTGCTTGTGATTAAACGATAAAGGAATATGGATTATCATTCTTTATTTGTTCTCCTTCACCTTATCCCAAGAGCAACTGGTACATAAAAGACATGCAAACCATAATCAATACCTGCACTCAGACCTCCAGGACTTTTAGAAGTTTAAGACTCAACTAACCTTCTCCAAGTAGCTTTTCACCATAGAGAACCTTGAAATAGACTTAGGAACAAGATCATAGTTCTTGTTGGCTTCCCATGCATCTCTCTCAGGCATCGGGGTTATCTTACTCTTTTGGGATAGAGCCCTCTCTGTCCAGGGTGCCTGAGCATTGGCCACTGGTATCTGGGCTTTGGCCACTCTGTAGGGAAGGGTTTGGGGGTTTCTGAGCCATGGACTTGGGAACCTGGGTTTGAGGTTTACTTACTTAGACATCTGGGGGATCTGGTAGGCAGTCTCAATGGTACCTTTGCCAGCAGACACAGCAGCAGAAATCAGCAACCTGGGCTTGTTGGTCTGGGAGGCCTCTTGCTCAAAAGCCTCATACATTTCCTGTGAAACAGAGGACACTGGACTCAGGTTGGAGGGTACCTGGTTTTTATGAAAAAAGCTGCGAAGTGCTCAGTTTAGACTTCATTGTTCCTGTCAGCTGATGTTGGTCCCTAAGGACAACAGTAAGCTGTCTCCCAATAACGGGAATGAGGAGAATTAATCTTCCAAGAGTTGAACTTTATAATGAAAAACCAATAGCCAAAGCAGGGGGAAAAAATCATATTAGGAGATAAAAATTGCTCCCATCCCTGCAACCTGTACATGATTGAATCTAATAATCAGAAAAATCAATTACAGAAGAACAGGATATAGAAGAACATCAGAGTAAACACTGGTACTTAACCAAGCTCTGCCCAGAGGAAAGGGCAGCCAGACCCAGTAACTTTACATCTGGTCCTGGTGACAGGAGTACCTGTTCCCTAGAGGTATATGCATTCACCTATCTGCCTGACTCTGGAGGAGTCCCTGGATGGACAAGTGGTTAACATGCTCAGCTGCTAACCAAAAGATTAGAGGTTCAAGTCCACCTACAGGCACCTCCTCAGAAAGGTCTACCAATCAACTTCCAAACAACCAGCTATCAAAAGCCCTATGGAGCACAGTTCTACTCTGACACATGTGTGGTCTCCGTAAGTCTGGGTCAACTCAACAGAGGCTGGTTTTTATCAGAGCCTGGTGTCACTGATCTTTCTACTAACCAACTCAGCTTGTTTAGATGCTGCTCACCAAGGAAATATTTGTGAGATATCTTACCTCTCACGTGGATCTGTGCTTAGGGATAGAGAGGGAATGAATATTTCAGTCCCTTTGTCCGTTATAAAAAGGAGCTCTGGTAGTGCAGTGCTTAAGGCATGTGACTGATAACCAGAAGGTTGACAGTTCAAACCCACCAGCTGCTCCACAGAAGGAAGATGAGACAATCTACTTCCATAAAGATTTACTGTCTCAGAAACCCAAAGGGGGTTGCTATGAGCTGGAATTGACTTGATGGCAGTGAGTTTTGTTTTGTCAGTTATATTTCTCACTGTTAATCTATTAACTGTCCTCACACTTTTACACACCAGCCTCTCTAACTTGCCCAATATAAGTTCTCCCTGAAAGAATAATCTGATCTTGTATTAAAGAAGTCAGGCTTTGAGCCAGCAAGGATGAGAGCCACACTCTGGTCTAGAGTGTATTTAGCCTTTCTCAGACCCCTCATTAGATACATAGAGACTTTATTCCTAGCCCATTGTGGGTCAGATCCCATGGTCTTTGGACAAAGGGGAGTGGGGCTTACCTTCAACAGGACAGTGAAGAGCTGCTGGGTGTCAGGTGGGCTGCCACGATTGCCAGGATATTCCCAATCAATGTCCAGCCCATCAAAGTTGTACTTCCTCAGAAACTGTATGGCTGACTGGATGAAAGTATGACGGTTCTCGGCAGTGGCCACCATGTTAGAGAATCTGGAATTAATAAGTCATTATGATGTTAGTGACAATGCTAGGCTTTGATATGGACTCTCCCAAGAATAAGATTCTCCCACGGGGCTCTTTGGGGACACAAAATAGTGTCCTAAGGCCCTCAAGACTCTGTCTTGTCATTTAGTCTTCTATTTACCCGGACACAAGCTCTGGTAGCATAGTGCCTAAGGCACTTGACTGCTAACCAGAAGGCTGGCGGTTCAAACCCACCAGCCACTCCTCGGAAGGAAG